GCACAACAGTTTATGCCACTGAGCGATGGGGAGGGGACAGTAGTCGACCATGACGGATTGAATGCTAACTGCGATATGGCCCGACCCATCCTCCGCTGCCATGCGAGTTACTGTCCATAATATTTAGAGGAATTTAGAAAACCCTAAAGCCTGTTAGGGCAACAGTATACATCTGTAACAACTTTAGACTGTTCCTTTCGTCCACATGGTAATTGGCCACGTAGAAATTACTTCGCGCCGGTCCTGCATACCGTAGCGCCATATCGCAGTTAGTAACCCGGTTGCATGCACCCTCCATTCCAAATAAACTTAATGGGAGTTGGTGAACTGAGGGTTGCAACTCCTTAATTGATTAACTTCAATGGATCACACCAGCGTTCCAGTGAGCAACCGTAGTCCGATTTGGTTTAATCTTGTCAATCCCATTTACCGCGCGCGTTTATGAACGCGCCTTTCATTTTTAATCCTTGAACACCGCTAATCTCTCTTTCTCTCTCTACATCAGGTTGTTCCACCACTCTCGGATCAGCTGGCCTTTTGTATCAAGACAAAAGGATTCAAGAGTATGGCTGTCACGTGGTTCCTGGTGACGTAATCGGTTGCTATCTGGAGCTGAATGCTGGGACCGGACAGTTTTCCGCCCAATGGAGTCACAATGGGCGGATGTTCGGCCCGGCTCCGCTGCCTAATCCCTACGCCATTTCCCCTGATGAGCCCTTGTTTCCAGGTTAATTATTATCGATTGAGTTATTGAGTTAGCTTACATCGAAATCTACTTTTGCCTGGGAACGGTACACAAGACGTCTAAATTACTTAGTAACCGCCTAATGCTACGAACACCTGTGCGTGATCTGTATCTTTGCGACACTGAAGTGTAAAGTGTTGCTACATTATTGGCAAGCGCTAGTACCGGCTGTCAAGTGCCTCTTATACCGCGCCCCTTTGAATCTATAAATTCGAGAAAGTGAGCTATACTCTTGACAATTACTTAGCAGGCTCATTATCATCATCATCAACAACAGCAGTACATGAGCCATTTGCTATGATGCTTCACTGTCATACAATCATCTTGCCTTACGGAACGAAAAATAATCCGAAGAGAAGAAGCGTGACCTACCGAAAAATTTTAAGGCCTTAAGTAAACATCAAGGGTCAAGGCGCCTACACTTTGTCAATAACACCGTCACAAACAACTGGCTATCGTGCAACCATAAGGCGGCATCGGCGAGATAGCTTTCTTGCAGCTTTCATTGTTCCGTGTAATAATCAGCCACCCCGCAGATAATTCAACACTAAACACGCTTTAACCAAGCAGACCGACTAGGAGGCGATAGCAGACACGTCACTGTTGTCGACTACGAGCCATGTCCTGTAAATTCTCGAGCCAAGCGCAAGGCGAGTCACGTGGACCCCAGCGTGGATAGCGAGACTGCCCGATGACACTCAGTTCGGTTGTCAGTGACTTTATTTCCCGCCGCTAAGTCAACTTCTGTCCACCTCGAACCTTGCGTTACTCTACATCTGGCAGACAAAACGTGACTCTTCCCGGCAAGCGGTGACCGGGCATACCTTTTACGTGTACAAACCACCGCAGCTTATCTAGTTCTATTGGTTGTTCTAAGGAACTAGCTTGGTTATCACTGCCTAGCACTAGCCTACGCACATCATCGTTGCGGAAACATTAGTGCCAACCGACACCAGCAATACTCCACAGTCAGCGATGATCAAGGACTTGAAGGCGCCTCAGATCTTCAGATAGAAGGGGCCAAATCTTACTCCCATAGAGAACGACGGTCCTGACTGTGGCCTTGTAAACAGGCCCTTCCAGACGGGGGGAAACACCTTTCCGTCACCAAAGATGCCGCAGATACAAAAAGGCAGTTTTGGCTTTTGCAATGCGTGGCCACAGTAGCTATGCACACGTCGTTACTGATAAGGCAACCACGGTAGTTGAATTGATCAACTACCTTGGGTTCCTCGCTATCTGGGGTCAAGTGGTCCTCAATTGGCTAATGGTTCTGTAGCAAGGCTTTACACTTTGAAGCTTCGAAGCGCATAACAAAGATGGGATCACTCTAGACAGGCTATTTAGGGTTGCCTGTACCGCCCCATCATCGTTAAAAAGCATAATAATATCTTCCGCCTAGTCAAGAGAAATTAACCTTTCATCAGACTGGACCACAACACCAGCAGGTTGGGGCTCGGTAAGGGAACACCATGTGATGGTGATAAGGACAAAATTGAACAGAAATTGGGATATCGGACAACCCTGACGAGCGCCATTGGTTGTCGGAAAGACATCCGTCAAATCACTGTAGACCCTGACGCGGCGTGTAGGGTTCGAGTACAGAACACGAAGGATGTTCAAATAGTTCGTGACAGCACCTTTTCGCGCAAGTATTTTGAACAGTATGGATCGATCACTTGAATCGAACGCACTCTTGAAGTCGCGTAACAAACATATTGTCGGCCTGCGGTACGTGTGGCGCTGCTCTAGCACCTGCCGCAGGGTGAATATATGGTCTATACAGCCTGTCTAAGGTGGAAACCTGCCTGCCGTTTTCTCGTCCGAGATTCCCGTCTTGAAGTGAAGCGATAAATGAGCATTGACGCCAGTAATTTTGTCACAATAGACGTTAGGCTACTATCTCTATGGTTAAAACTGTCGGTGCGTTTACACTTCTTGTATATTGCCACTGTATTCGATTCACTCCAGTTAGCCCGGACGCTCTCTTCTAGACAGGTTCTAACAGCAAGGTCAGTGCTTTGCAAAGAACCTCATCTTCATCCTTAAACAGTGCAGGTGGGAGGGAATCGGGGCCAGCAGCACGAAAACGATTGAGGGCTGCGTTCGTATTTTGGACCTCAGCATCTGATGGAGCCTCTAAACTAACCGTCCATGGCTCATCCTGTATCACCTGAGTAGGAAGTGGTCGGGAAATGGTGGACCAATTGAGCGGATCCTGAAAGTGTTTCGCCCAACAAGCCATACGGCGCTTCTTCTTGTGAATCAAGTCACCCCCGCGCTCTATGATTGTTTTACTAACACCAGTAGTGCGGATCAGCTGGAAGTGCTTGTGATAATTGCCCACTGCTCTTGCCTCCTACATTTTTTGAGCCCGACTGGTCCATCAACCTTCCTTGTCAGCACGGGAGCTTGTTTTAGTTCATGCTTAATAGTCCGTCTGGTCACGTCGGGCTCAGAGCCAGCCGGGAGGTTTCCTCTAGATTCCAACAGGTTCACTGACCTCTCGGATATCCAGTGGATAGGGCGGCGAGAATTTATAGTGCCACAATCAGCTGCTACTGCATCATGCGTGGCGACCAAGGTCCTATTCCACTGAAGCTCAGTTTAATTAGGACAACGAAAGGAAAGCTCTGTACAAAGTGCATCCTGGCAGTCTTGTCTGACCAAGGGCTGAGATAATTTCTCTGTTGCCAATCGGTTGAGACACTTGGTGCGCCTCCAGGTAAAGTTTATGACAAATCGACAGCGTACCAAGACATGATCAGAGTCGACGCAGGTACTCCAGAACGATCGGTAATCCAGCTTGGAACCAGGTCAGCGGTAATTTATGGCAATATGATCAATTTGGATGCATCGCTGACCAGCCATAGGAGGACGTCAAGTGACGCTTCTGCGCTCAATATGTCTGAAAGTAGTGATACCAAGAAACAGCAGATGCTCCGCATGCAATTGCAAAAGACGCTCTCTGTTTTCCGTACGGTTGGAGTTCAGCCCATATGTAATACCTAGCTAGGCTTCTGAACAATCTACGTGACCTTTCTTGTGCGTTCAAATCCCCTGCAAGTACTATGATATCTGAACTAGTAGCACTGCATAGTAGCGCACTCATTACATGGTAGAAGGTGTCCTTGGGAGCATCAGAACTTCAATCGGTAAACGGAAAACACAGACATACTGCGTCTCACACTAGTTCCTGAATCAATCTTAGTCGATGTCGTCAAACGGGCTGCACATAAGCGTCTGTTCACCGGAATCCAATCAACCAACCATGACTTGGCCTTGATGCTAAGTACGATACATACTCCAGCTTGATCAGTGAGTGCTTCATCCGTCTGTCCGGATGCACGCAACCAATAGCTAGAATACAAGCCGGGCGCAGTTAATTCAACAACTCGTTAGGGCCATTGATCCTAGCTTCGGGTATGCCACCCAAGTCAATACCCAGCGTGTTTAACATCCGTGCGAGTGCAACCTATTGACCTGTGTTCCTTACAGTGCGAACGTTGAACGCCGCCAGGGATACGGTACGGCGTGGTCTTATAAGGGACTATTGCCGATAGGCATCCAGTGGCTGGTGCGGGCAGATAGTTACGGATGATTCGACTCCAGTGGCGTTATCTCCGCTTCAATTAAGCCGGAAACTATAGAAGGAAAGTTAGGAATAGGGGTTAGGATGGGCGTAAGAGAGACAGGTGGAAAAGAAAGGAGGATCCAGCATTAGCATGTTTTCGCTAATCCGCCCTGCTGTATGCAGCAGATAAGGCGACATTTAAAAAGCGGCTCGACGATTCATGCAGGATGTGGTGGAAGTTTGAAGAAATAAGCATAGCTATACGCTGGCAGATATACAGTCAGGGCACTCAGACCTGGACAAGAGGACGATTAGGGTCCCTACCAAAACCTTTGGCTCGAAAGCCTGTCCGCAAGGTAGCGTGGTGGTGCCAATGATTAAGTTTTACAGAGATGGACGTCATCCCATTTCAAACACCCAACCTGTGGGAACCGCAGACGGTGTTTGTCTGACTTCTACCCATTGACCAATCTGTTAGGAGTAGCTATCAGGGGATCCGAGGGCACTTCCCAGTATAGCTCAATGGGGCGACAAGGTAGGCAAACCATCGCACTACCTTAAAGGCCAGTCACATTGCGACAGAAATAGTAAACTGTCGATTCCTAGATTTCTGATCGCAGACTTTGTCCATATTTGATTAGCCTCACCTGGCAGTTGATTCTGTCTACCTCAATACATATTTCGGTTTTATTTGTTTCCCATTATTAACTTATGTTTAACGTGATACACTTACCACTAACGTACATTTTGGTGTTTGTGTTACTGTGATACAATGGAAAGCTGGTCGTATTTGTACTACTTGAACGCTACATACAGTTACTAATTCCCCGCTTCTGCGCCTCATTTTACTTATTCGTTAGTCTATTGTATTGCTTTGTCTAAAATCCTCTACTTAAACCCCGGTTTGGCAATACAATTTACTCTGCCCGCCACCATTAGTTCAGCAACCCCGACCGCGCGTTAGGTAAGTGAATCGTGACAGCAGTCTATAAAGCTAGTACAATTTTTCTCGTTTAATTGCACGCATTTAACTTTTTCAAACTTAGCCTTAAGGAAATAGCTTACGTCCATACATCTTTCAGAATCCTCCTTAAGGCAATCAAGTATCATCCACCTGGCGCGAACGCACCCAAGCGCGCCCCTCGTTGAGTAACCATTCCCAAATCAACCGACAGCATATCCGAGTAGTTTACGACACGGGTAACCAGAAAAGGCTTGGGTGTGGCGCAGATCGAGTGCGATTTGGAGGGTGCCTAGTCCTCGCTCGGCACTCGTATTCAAGCATGATCGGCTACACTGAAGCTGCACATTTGCTAGGGAATATATTCGCAAACCTCACGTGGTGCCACTTGGGCTTAGCAGTTACGAGTGATCATGGTGGTTGGCACGTAAGCTTTCAGGCATTTCCATTTCTACGTGGAATATGATTACGTGGGATGTTTTCCCATTTCATCGCTGAGGTGTCCGTATAATACGAGGCACCCACATGAATGAATGCGAATGATTTGGCTCTTAGGAATAATGACATGAAGCCGCTCACACGGACCGTTGTCGATGATAGGTTATCATGGAAGTTGAGCTAGAGTGACACCCGGGGTGGGGGCGGAGCGCGTCACAGCAATGACAGGTGAACTTGGAGACATTAGCGCCTGGTCCGAATGCAGACACGTGCTCCAAGTTGACTGAAGGTCTTGAACTGAGGTGTGCCATGTGTGGCCTACCACCACACGTCCACCTCGTTGAGGGGTCCCCTGGGCACATGTGACACGATGTGAACGTTAGTTATTGAAAGCAGTACTGCCAATATCCGCATAGAGGACACAACATAGTTGCAGGTAGCAATCGACACCGTCTGTTCAACGTAAATGCACCCGAAACAGAATTCCAGGTGTTGTTCAGAGTCCGAAAGGCGACCCATTAAGACATCAATGTAAATGTGATTGTTGTCACAGTGTACCTAGTTCCTGCCGTCTATAGAAGTGGTCCTTCACACCCGCTAAACTGCAGTCAATCGGGGCAAGAACAGAAGCATCGACAATGCACGATATCCTCAGACGGTTGTTATTTGACCTAGTAGAATTTCAAAGTCAAACAGCTGTTCGAAATTCTGTTCAATGACATCCAGTAGAGTATTTTGCATTCTGCATGATTGTTGATGGCGATACGGACAGCATAATAACCTTGAGCTATTTACTTCGTACCGCCAGAGGCGCTTAGAGTGCAATCGGAGTCAGCAGATTCGGAACCAGAAAGTGAAAGATTCGTCACAACGCGATTATCATGTATAGGTGTTTCGGAGACACAGCAAACAACAATATCGAGGGAGTGGATAGGGAGAGCTAGTGCTGCTGTTAGCTAACTTGAAAAGTGCGTAGACGCCAAATGAACCATTGCCAATTGCGCGTATCCTTTTGATAGCTTCAGGTATGAGGTCAGTGACAGTCCCTTGCGCAATAAACAGGGGAGAAGAGAGTGGTACGGGTAGAGGAGAAGAAGTGTCGCCGACCGGGTCGAGAGTGTAGATTGTACTATCTGGCTGCTCATTCCGGAAGTGGTTGAGGTGCCCAACCCCTAGCCTTTCGTTCAACAGTCTGACCCACAACGCAGTCAAGCATATGGAGGTTCACTTGAGTGGCTCCACCTAGAACGTTTGGCTCAACAACTTGATCCACAATGTAGTGGGGAGCTAGTCCAAATACACAGCGTGATTTCAGTGTCACATTGAGATCTGCTTGAGGCCAGTCAGATACAGCCTTTGAGAATCTAGGGCAATTCATGTGCAACCACAGCCAACCGTACGTGAGAATGGGCCGGTTTGCATCTATTTCACCAGGAGTTCCCTGGATTGAAGCGGGAGATAGCAAACCACTAGGCGCTGCATGCTGTATTTTCACGATCTGATACAATGTGTGGCACTTGTGCTCTACGCCAATCGAGCTGCGAGGGACTTTAAAACCTAGTTTCTGGCGTGGCTGTTCTAAGGGAGGAGGACCATGGAACTCTACCAATCCTCGAAGAGGATTGTGAGACTGAGATAGTCCGACTCCTAACACTTGACACTTTCGGTATGAGCAGTTCTGATGGCATCTAAAAGGCGCCACCGAACGATGCTGAATAGGTCACGAAGCTACACAAACTATCACATCCAGATAAAGTCCAGTCGCGTCGCGATGGGAGTTGTTTAATCGCTACGTCGCTGTTGTACTGTGTAATATCAATCTGAAGCTTACCTGCATTTACGAGAACAGTTTCCACTTTTGTGATATACTACGGTTTATTAATAAGAACAACGCTTATTTCCCAAAATTTTCACAATCCGTTTGGCTGTTGTATACCTGAAGGTGTCAATTCTCGTAAGTAGTGTGTGTATGAAACACAGACCCTACGCTTCTCTATCGTTGAACGTAACTTGTGTCAATGGTTCGGGATGACGGGTTGTTCTGAGCAAACGGAACTGACATTACAAGCTGGGAACCACTACGTAGAGCAACCAATTCAAGCAAGGCAACCAAAACTGAAGATCGATGTCGCTGATCTGGAGCAGACCCAAAGTTGGGTTTCCAAGTGCGTCATGGGAACGCGTGTTGTCATAAGAAATAGGCGGAAATGCGGGAATTGCTGATTAACTGACAATCTGCTAATGAGTACATTGTTCTGAGTTAACCAAACCATGTGCGCCGCTATTTACTCAGGTTAGCAATAACACATAAGTGAGATCATTCCTTGGAACTGGCAGAATAGTATGACCGATAAAAGTGTTGCGGAATTCTTTTTCTGGTTGTGGGTGTCGCCCTTGGAACAACACCCCCTTCGGTCTGTTTCGCAACAACACTAATCATGTGTGAGAATGGTTGGAGGAACCACTCAGACACTTACATGTCTCAGCAACCGCAACGGGAACCATGACGCAACGATAAGAAATATCCCAAGAAGCAAGCTCAATCGAACAACGGCATAACAAAGGCAATAGTCGAGTGAAACCTCGGTGAGTCTGAATATGTGCACTGTGCGCGCACTCATCCTGATTCGAGTCGCTACATCATTCAAACACGGAAGTTGCAACACTGCGCTCAGTGAGCATGCAGCACCCCGAAGCACACCGCGGTCCACATGCTCTCCACGCACCCACCGGTGTCACTAACCCAACTTCCATGACAGTCTCTCATCGACAACGGTAGTTCATGTCAATATTGCCAAGGGTTAATTCATTCGCACTCATTCACGTGGGTGCCGCACATCATACGGACACCTCAGCGATGAAATAGGTGAAAACACCGCGCAATCATATTCCAAGTAGAAATGCCTGAAAGCTTACGTGCCAACCATCATGATCACTCGTAACTGCTAAGCCGAGGTGGCACCAAGTGCGCTTTTCGAGTATACTCCCTAGCATGTGTGCAGCTTCAGTGTAGCCAATCATACCTGAATACGAGCGTCGAGCGCGGACTAGGCACGCTCCAAATCGCACTCGATCTGCGCCACACCCAAGCCCTTTCTGGTTACTCGTGTCGTAAACTCCTCGGATATGCTATTGATTGATTTGGGATTGGTTACTCAACGAGGGGCGCACTTTGGTGCGTTCGCGCCAGGTGGATGATACTTGATTGCCTTAAGGAGGCTTCTGACAGATGTATGGTCGAAACCTATTCCTTGTTGAGTTTGAAATCGTAATGTATGCAATTAACTGAGAAAAGGTGTAGACCTTGCCTATTTGCTTGGAAATTCGAACCGATTATCAGATGTTGACATCATTTGCTTACGACGCGCTGCTCGTGTGTGATGGCGACGCCACCTAACACACAAGTGTTCGTACTCTGTTGCCCAGTGCAAACATTCTGACCCTTGGACGTCGAGCCACAACACCGTGTATTGCAGGTGCCAGCCTATCACTACCCTGCTCCGCATTAATTGCGTTTGCCAAATAGGTTGAGTGTCTTGATAGACAAGTACTTTCATGGAAAATGCCTTAGTTGACATTAGCTAACATTTGACATCAGCTGGATCCGTACGTCTTCCAGTTTGTTAACCACATGATTCGCAGTTGTTACAAGTTGAGCTGTGGGACCAATTTTGTTCTATTGCTTCTTTTATTTTAGTCTTTTATATTAGGGCAACCGGTGGATAACCAAAGCAGCATGTGTGTGCAACATGAAAAGAAACCCTTCCTTTTGTTTTAATGCCATCTTCTTTTTTGAATCAGGTGTCACTCCCTCTGTTTCTGTCATGGATCTGGTGACACACTTGTCTGCCCTCAGACTAGTAACCAATGAACCCACTTTGCAATAATTATCGTAATACATTTGGCCATTTGTACCTGTTTTCCTTTATGCATCTTTAATCTACTTTGTCGGCTTTTCATACGTCCACCGCAGATGTATCAATTTTTCTACAACCCAATCGTTTTAACTCCCGTCCGCATTTCACTGACTAGCGTTTAATCTCCTTCGGTTCTCGGTGCACTCAGTTTGTGTGCCCGGATAGCCAACTGCAGTCTCTCATAATTGTCTTTCTAAACCATTTATTTTATGAATCTAACACATACTAAAGATCGTTGAGATGTTAGCCTAAACCCCTACAGCACTGGCCACTTAGTCACGATGGGCAACGTTTGGTATAACGGTTACTTACTGATTGGATGGTCACTTTGGAGTACACATTGTGTGATTGGATTACGAGGCAGATTGGAGAGAACGCTGGTCAGTTCGTGTACTGCCTGGGAAAGTAGCTGAAGCCGATGGCTGACGAGCGTTTTGGAACCTGTTAGCTCTCGTCGGGTTTGGATAGTGGGGATTGGAACCCGGGGTCTTTGGAATTCCAACTGAAACATCAACCCGAAGCTAACGAGTCGCGGAGAGCAATGCATCCCAGAACAGTCAGTAAGTGATTGACGCTGACGTTTAGAGGCATTCGTTCTGTGACTGGCTAGCGACGAGCAACGTCAAACAGGATCGTGATTCATGGTAAAGGGACTTCCAGTCGGTGCGATCACCTGGACCGCATCTGACACAGATTACGTATCGCAATCCAACTACTTGACAGACGTTTTAAGATAACGCATCTAGTGACTGTTACCTCCTGTTTGTCGAAAAACGAAACGAAAATGAAACGAGTAAAAAGAACAGTAAAAATCTATCAAATTCCCTGACTTCTTTTCCTTGACAGTAGCGCATTCAAATGCTGAGATGCGAGGGGCCTTTCTGTTAGTCGTAAAATGCAGTTACATGTTGAGCCTCATGCTTCTAAACCCATGTGACTCCGGTTGTCATGACAATTAGTCAACTATGCAATTTCTTTGTCACAGCTGCTTCTCTAAAAGATGCTCGTATCGTGTTCAACTTTGGCTACAAACCCTTCCGATTCCCGCCCAAACAACCGTCCAGCACTGGAGAACCGTGGATTCCCGTGTCAGACACACCAGATGCGCTCCGAGTGCCCAATCTTAACGTTGGGTGGCGCGTCAATCCTGCCGATGTGAGTTCCAAGACTAATTTACTGATCTCACCAAACGGTCGGATGGTTCAGGCGCTAGCCAATACCGGTTGGCAAGGGTTCCGCGTGAATAAGGTGAGTTTCTAGTAGCTGTCACACAAATTTTGTCATACCTCGGGGGTGGAAGTGATAAACATGTCTTTCTGGTACGATTGCGTTCTCCACAGTTGCGAGCTTATTCACACATGTGTGTTCTCTTCTATTATGATGATCTTGCCCACCATTCACATTCTCTAATCTTACCATTTGTGGTAGTTTCTTCACACTTTAAAAGCAACTAGTTAACTGGAAATTTTTCAGGCAATTTTCTAAATGTTTTATCTCAGGGTGGTTGGACAAAGTGTAGGTCATTGGAAGAATTTAGACACTAGGTGGGAATGATCTGAGACTATTAGAGAATTTAAAGAGATAATGGCCGGAGCCTGTGTGCGATCACCAGAACAAGAAAAGTACTTACAACTCGTGTTCGCTGTGTGTCTTCCTGGTCCCCTCAGATGACCATGGGTCAAGTTAGATTTTTATCTTGTTGAATCTGGCTGTTATCTCATTGATGTACTTCTAGGGCCTACGCATTTCCGCAACTTTCTCAAGGAATCTTCGCTTACGCTGCTCAACATTTTGCGAATTGGGGTTGTTCTAACGCGTCCTAGTTGTTTTTGATTCCTGCTCGGAAGGGACGAACGCTCTTCACAGATAGTGCTTCACGCGTGCAGAGTATCCAATGGAATTCGGAACGTTCCGGGTTAACGTGACCTAGCCGCCAGACATACACGCGATATGAGACTGGAGACGAATGGGTAACACGTAGCACGACAGCACCGTCAGCAAGAGTTCTTTTACCGATTCAGCCGAGGCGAAGCACGCCTTCTACACCTTAATATTTATTCTAAGCGACAAATCGCTTGGGGGCTCAAGTGACACATAAAAACTCCCCATCCAAGCTAAAAATGAAGCCGAGACGTCAAATACGGTGCTATTCAAATAGTAATCAAAATACGATATGTACATACCTCCATAATACCCGGTCAGTTCCGAAACAGCCGACCTTCACAATGTCCAAAAGCAATGCAAACGGTACTTGCTACGGTGCACAAGGAATCACACCATACGGAGTCCACGATCGGACTATGACCGTTCTGTTATTAGGTCCGTTAACCCTTATTTCATTGGTTCGCTATATAGCATGGGAAACGGAACGCGATGGGCTGGGCTGTTGGGGTGGCTTGGCTCAGTCAAACAGTGGGGGGTGGGAGGAACATGGAGGTGCTTACCCCCGGGGCGGGTGGATGATTCAAGTCTGAGGTGTGTGTGGGTGACGTGGTCTTGACGGGTTGCATAGCGTGAGGGAGCGGTCTTCACAGTGAGAAGTGAGGTGAAGTCATGGCAACATCGAGATGAGTTCACATGGAGGATAATCGGTAAGCCGGAACTCATCAATTGGGGCAGGCGTCTGCTTTGGTCATCAAGACTGAGATCTCAACACGCGGCTTGCTAATTACATACCAGTTACGTCGGTTGGCATGTAACCATGGCACATAAACTGAGTGAACGGATAGGTGGTAGGGATCAAGAATCAGATCATGTTCTTCACCTTGTCGTGAGGGCAAGTAACCGTAGGGCATGGAGTGGGTAAACAAATAGCTGGTGAGGATCCAGAGTTAGATAGCGTCATACTCCAGCTTGTGAATTGCGTGGCAAATTTACCGCTTACATTTATGGCCCAATCGAATAGCAGTATAATGCAGCAACTACAGAGGAAGGTGAATGTTGGCAAAACACGAGTTGTGACCCATTGGTAGTGTCCTGAAGGAAACTCAGTATTTGTGTGCGTTTGTGCTGTAACTGCTGTGGCAACGGAGGAGCTCTGTTGGTTCACTATGGTCCGACTCGGTTATTACTAGCGCACTCTAAGTCCCCACATGGCGATTGTATGCCTGAGGTGAACGCGACAAAACATGCGCAAGTTTCGCGACCCGTGAGCACCAGTTGACGAGCGCTCAACTGTGATAATGACACTCTTTAACTCGTCGAGATTCAGTCATGTCTTATCCGACACACGCAAAGACCAAGTTTGTTACCAGCGATGAGACACCACGAAGCTTTGCTAAGGCCCACTAAATTGTTGTTCACCTGTTTTCTACACCAGGAAAACTATATTGTGCGCTTGCCTTGAAGGCAAAATTGTTGCATGTTCCCAAGCAGATGAGCTCCGTCTTCGTATTATTATGCCTTTCGAATTATCCACACGTTGCTTGACCAATCCACACGGTTTAATGCCTATACTGTTAATAGTTACAAAAGTATTCGTGTCTTATTTGTTCCGCAGTAATTCCTAGCACCGTTTGTAACCATTTGAACAAATCACCCACCTTTGCAACTTTGCGTGCTAGCGGGCTTTCCAACAAACACTCCAGTGTCACGGAACCTTCCCTCTGAACGCTTTATTGTTGCTGGATCTGAGCACATTGCATTGATTTCGGAAATATTTTGAAAACAATCCAACGGTGCATTTGATAGGTAATCTGCCCATTTTAGGTATAGGCTTCGTTAAGTCTTATGTATCGGGACGAGATTGTTTTATGACTGGTAAATTACTGCGGGATGACTGTCGCGATATGTGCGTCCCAGATAGGAAAGTTGTTAGAGACACAGATCGGACCGTCACCTCTTGCCACATTGACAAAGCCTTCGTGACGGCGGCTAAATGATTAATCCGATGATATCCGTAGTGTACTGACTGCCACTCGGACCGAATCCAAGCGCAGATGCTTGCCACTCTGGCCCCGGACATCTCCATGTCTTTCAGCACATTCACTTCACCGGGGACTTAGAGCTTCCCACCGTTTAAGCAACTGACTGTTTGGGTGTTACTCTCATTCCACTCCCACTGGCCTCTTCATTACTTCCGATTCAATCACGCACTTCGTGCACCGATGAACGAATGGATGAGGCGTCTGCCTGGTACTCCAAAGGTCGTCGGCTCGAATTTGCGGCCGACCTGGCAGTATCCCTAGCCCGAGTACGCTAGTGTTCGACGCAATAATGTAAAGTGTTGGTGCCGCGCACCGGCCTGCTGCAAGCTGCTGGTGTTTACTGTGTACACAACACTACAGAAGTATCTTTCTTCCACGCTCAGTTGAGTGAATAAGTTACTCGCTTTAAGCCTAGTTGCAACCGTTTACTATGTCTGAACTTCCCCCAGATTTTACCAGTCCCTGATTGTATTAATGTTCAAGTTTTTCTCTTTCAGGGTATCTTTGGCGGAGGCAAGTATTACTACGAGGTAAAGGTTGTAGAGGACTCCGGATTGGCTCGTGTTGGCTGGTCTTCCGATGGTGCAAGCTTGGACTTGGGCACAGACTGCTTCGGATACGGCTTCGGTGCCGATCGAGACGGTTTTGGCATCACGGGGACCCAAGGCAAAAAGCTTCACGCTGACATGATTGAAAATTATGGCGAAGTGAGTGAATGCGACGTTCACCGCTTTTCGACTTTTATCTGATGGGTGCTAAACTGAAACTGATCACCTTATTTCATTTCGTCTAGGTGAGACATAAACATATTAGGGACATGTACCACCTTCAGTCTCATGCTATTTCACTGACCATGAATGTTATCACTGATGTTCCGTGGAACCATGTGTATTTTTTCAATTGACTTACACTCATTTGATATTTTAAGTTTGTAACGTTCCATTTTATTAACGTTCTTTATTTTAATTTAACCAAATAGCTGAGTTCAACGCAAATTACTTAGATTGTTAAGGTGTTCCGGTTTATATTTTCAGTCTCCTCTATTTTTTGCTAGATTGAGGATTTCTTCTAGTAACCGATCGCAAATATGCTGACGACGTAGCTTTCAGAATATAGGATCCACCTGCTGTACAAGCTCATCTGCGTAGACTGAGATCGAGCGCTGGACGCTTCGACATGAACGCGGCAATTACAATGTGTATACAAGGTATTTGTAATGTGATGGACCAACATCCCACCGGCTGTCACCCGCTCCGAACAGCCACTGTAGGTGAGCTATTCAAGCGGCTACCTTGGTCAGCCATCCACGGGAACTGTGCGCCACTGGTTTGCAGGCTTAAAGTGCCGGGCGCCTTGCTGCAGCACGACCAGCGTTGCTGCTCCTGCCAGAGATATGGCTGATATACATGGAATCCTTTATGTAGTCGGTTCTCTTTAAACACCAGTGCCGGCATCACATCGCTCGTAGCTAGTGGGACTAATGAGTGTTTAGTGGTGAAATTCACAAGTCAAAACCCAATGTTGGGTTGGTTGATGCATTCGAATCGCCTGTATGGACTATGCCGGATACACTGGCGTCTATTGTTTGCCGTTGTCGGCCGGTGGCTGAGTGGTCTGCACGTTTGCTTTGCAACCGTAAGGTCACCGGTTCGAATCCGCGTAGGGGTTGACGTCCTCGCGGTATACTCAGCCCGCGCGCGACTGGTGGTGGTTGCGCGGTAGCGAAGCGCCGTTACGGCGTTGTTATTATTATTATTATTATTACTATTATTATTATTATTATTATTATTATTATCGTTTACCGTTTCATGCCTATCTGGCAAGCATGTGGCGCGGTTTAAAAGCATGGGAAACGGGACTGCAGCGCTTCTAAGTCTAACGCATAGCACCTTTCTGATTGGAGCCCTCGAACTGACAGCATCAACATTTGAAGACCACTTCCGCACCATGCTACAGACGCCAAACTGTTGATGTGCTCACATTCGGCCGGGTTCATTTATCCGTCAACATTTTCACACACCGCATTACTTTTTCCAATCTATTATGGATAACCATTTTGTGTGTTTGCTTGCCCTTTTTAAATGTCCATTATTATACTTAATGATCCTAATATCCTTCTTACTACGACGGCTTGAACTACGGCATCTAGACACGCTACTCTCTGTCTTTCGCGTTCTGTTTGAAAATGTGATATACTCTTAGCAGAGCGGAAATGCACACGAGCTTAAGTCATATTAATCCAGAGAGCTTTCTGATAGCTTCCGAATGCGATGTATGAATCATGACATGCTAACCCGCCAAGAAACGCTTCCCAGTGCACTGTGCTGGGTTACCCTAAAGCGGCCGCTGGACGTGCGCTTGGGATCAACTCGGACGCATCCCGATCCAGTACCAAGCGCGTACGGATACACACATACACACGTTCACGACGGCAACCGAGCTGACCCTCGTTCCATAAGAAATCGATGCTCCATGTCAATATTCTGACCGCTGTTAAATTGTTGTGGGTGGGTAGAGCAGTGGAACTCAAACAAAGTACTCCACGGCTGAAGTGAAAAGGTTGACGCTGGCAGTTGGCCACGACTTTGTCCACATTGTCCTAGTCAAATTGGGCATTTTCAGCGATTTCCCTACACTAAATGTTCCAAACGAAAGCAACTGCAATAGATAGTTCTCTTGATGAATTCGTTGCTCTGGAGGCCAACCCTGTCCTCTGCATGTTCTTAACATACATGACAGGGGAGTGTGAGCCACGCTATATCGCAGTTAGCTATCAGGCACGGTGGTTCGCCGCCGTTACCTATGGCTCCTTGGCATGATTCCCTGGCTCACGGACTATTGTCCTGGGTTCGAATCCAGCAGGATTCGACGGGTGCACACTACTGACGTGTCCCAGTACGGTGAAATGGCCATCTAGCGTATTCCAGAATGTGTGGTGGCTATCTGCCTGAGTCTAGCTGCGACGAACGTTCGGAGCAAAACGTTAAGATTGATTTCCTACGCGCTTCAGTAGAAAAGCAGTGGTTGCTGGGTGTTGCCCGCACGAAAACACTGCATGTACGATCAGTTTCAGACCCATTATGCACCTATCAGTTGAAAGTAGCAAAACTGCTAGGAACTCTGCCTCTAAGCCACCACATCGATGCGAACAGCTCTTGCCACACAGAATAACGACTTGTAGGATGGATCATCCAACCCAACGCTTATGATATTACTCAACTGATATATATATATATATATATATATATATATATATATATATATATATATATATGGTTGGCGGCATCCGGTTTCGGATTTGCCTGTCACTGTGGCCAGCCACAGGAGGCCTGTGCCTACAGAGAACCATGGGCGGCTTGCGCTGCACTACCCACAACTCCATCCACACACCCCATATCCAGTGTAAGCCGGAAGGAATACAACCGGGAGGCATATGGATGGGAGCCACATTTCATCAACGGAGCCGGCCCACACTCCTTCACAGGCAAACAAAAGCACGCTGTATTTGGGAATCAAGCGCACACAAAAGGCAGTGGTTGGACCGTAGTCCGCTCCACACTGAGTGCATGGAACCACTCTTCGAGCCTAGCACGACCACCAGGACAGTGCACCCCGTCCCCTCCAGTGGCCGGTGTAGCCATATCATTAAGATGTTTGACGATTATTGGATATCTCGTGATCTAATCTCGGATCCTTTGTTAACAACTTATTTCATATGCTCGCGTTTCCTTATGCATTACTCGACTTATTTTATTTGTTATCTTCCCCTCAAGTGATTGGCTGTTGCTTGATATCTCCGGTGTGGCTGCGCTATATTTGCATTTTGACAAGGTGCCTACCTGTCTATTACGCACTACCTCCTCCACACTGGCTCCAGGAGACAGTTGGTCGTTGCTGGGGGGGAGGGACGGGGTGCACGATCCTTGTGGCCATGTTAGGATCAAAGAGTGGTTACTTGCACTCGGTGTGCATCAGATTACGGTCCAGCCACCGTCTTGTGTGCGCTTGATTCCCCAAATACAGCGTGTTTTTTTGCGTGTGAAGGAGTGTGGGCCTGCTCCGTTGATGAAATCTGGCTCCCATCCATATGCCTCCCGGTCTTATTCCTTCGGGTTTACACTGGATATGGGGTGTGTGATTGGAGCTGTGGGTGGTGCAGCGCAAGCCACCCATGGTCCCTCTGTAGGCGCAGGCGTCCTGTGGCTTGCCACAGTGACAGGCAAATCCGAAACCGGATGCCGCCAACCATATATGTAAAGCACATGCTGAAGCGTGCGGCCTTACTCGTCAGTCTGTCCAGTAGCGTTTGCATTGCAAACGCATCAGACCTAAGGAGAATTATGTCGTCCGCATACTCCAGGTTTGTCAGTCTGTAACCTAGCGGAACTTCTGCTCCGGTAGAGTCTGAAAGAACCGAGTCATTCACGATCATTTTGATCATGAAGTTGAATAGGAACAACGTTATACAACAAGCCTGGCGAACCCCACCTGTCATGGGGAACTTAGGAGACAGTTTCCCGTAGACCCTTATACGGCCTTTGGGAGTCACGGTAGTGAGTTCAGAATAGAAAGGAGCATAGCTGGCACATCCTTCATGGACAGGTAGTGCCACAACATGGCGTGGTCAACAGAGTCGAAAGCGACTTTGAAGTCATGTAAAACCGCCGTAGTCGGTAGGTTGTACGTGTCACTGCTCTAACACTTGACGTGAAGTAGAGATGTGGTCGATGCAACCACGACCAGGGCGGGACCCAGCCTGGCCTTCAATGATTCGATCCTTGAAGAATGATACCCGTGAGAAGTTTGGAGGCAATATAAATAAGGTTATTGCTACGATGATTTCCGCACAAAGTACCCTGACACTTCTTGAAGATGGGCAAGCAATTTGATAGTCGCGTCTGAAGGTACTTCTTCGGTGTCTCACATTGTTTGAAAGAGAGAAGCAACTTCAGTCAACAAGGGGTCACCACCATCTTTCAGCAAAGATGGAGAAAGGTCGTCGGGTCCAGGAGCCTTGTTAAGTTTCAACACGGAAAGCTTATGTCGAATCTCTTCCAAAGTAGTTAAGGGGACATCTACTTCCTACGAAGGGGCACGGGCGATTCGGCAAGCAGCAATGTCGCAGCAGGTCTGTTGAAGTGCTCTTCAAAACCTTCCGCCCAATGGGCTAGTCGACGAGGCTGAGAATGCATCAGCTGCCGGTATTTCTTAGCTATTGTCTCTCTAACAGATGGCTTTCTCGGATCCGTATTCCGGATGTGCTGGAATAACATCCAGATATTCCTAATAGCACTGGCGATGGGGAACCATCACACGAGCCTTTGCAACCCCCCAACATTCCCGGTCAACTCAAAGACTCCGTGCCAGACGTCATTTCAGAAAGTTACGGATATTTCAAAATTCAGTGCCCACCGGAATCAGTTTACGCGCTTTGGCCAAACTGATCAATGCCTCAGAGATCCATTCACAGTTACGACGTCTCAAGTCAGGTGCACATAATTTGCCACTCTCAAGGACCTCGTGATTTATTGATACGTTCCTGCCGGAAGTAAACCTTCTGCTCAATAAGCAGCCCAATCCGGCACATTTAGCACTCTGTCGTCATCATGAAATGTTTCAGTCTGATGAGAATTACCGGATTCTTTACTCAGATTCTGCCTCCTTTTATTCATTCTAATAAATGGGAAGGTCAGCATTCCCCGTGATT